ATGCTTTCATCGCTTCCTGACAGAGCCCTGTATCCATTAGCAGTTATTTCCCATTCTCTTCCCCCTCCCACTGCCCCTGACAACCACTAACCTACTCTCTATCTCTAGACATTTTCCTATTCTGAACATTTAATGTAAATGGAATCATACGTACCCTTTTGTGTGGGGCTTATTTCACTAAGAATAGTTTTCAACGTTTATTCATGTGGTAGCATGTATCAATACTTCTTCCCTTTTAATGGTAGTATTAGTATTCCATTGCAGGGATATAGTATATTTTGTTTAGCCATTCATCATTTAATAGATATTTGAGTTGTTTCCATTTTTTGGTTATTGTGAATGCAAAAATATTTGTGTGTAGGTTTTTGTTATGGATATATGTCTTCAATTTTCTTGTTGTATATGCCTAGGAGTGAAATTGATGATCACATGGTAACTCTATGTTTTACATTTTGAGAAATTATCAGATCTTCCAAAGTGGCAGCACCATTTTGCATCCCCACCAGCAATGCATGAGGGTTATAATTTCTCCATATCTTCCCCAACATTTATTAGTCTCTTTTTGATTATAGCCTTCCTAGTAGGTGTGAGGTAAATAGATCACTGTGGTTTTGATACACATTTCATAATGACTAATGACATTGAGCTTCTTTTTGTGTGCTTATTGGCCATTTGCATATGTTCTTTGGAAAAATGTCTGTTTGTTTTTTGCCTATTTTTAATATTGGGTCATTATTTTTTAATTGTTGATTTGTAAAAGTTCTTTATATATTCTGGATACAAGTACTTCATCAGTTATATGATTTGTAAATATTTTCTCCCATTTTGTGGGCTGTCTTTTACTTCTTTGATGATGTCCTTTGAAGCACAAAGGTTTTGAATTTAATGTGTGGTCACTAGGTGACCTTGTAGCCTCAGCCTACCCTGGCAGTAAGCTTCCCACAGCACTCCCATCTTTGACATAGAAGCTGGTTTTTCACAGGCTTCCTGCCCATATCAGGGCCCTCATTCCCTGTGCAGTACCACGTGTGGATTGCTGGGAGCCTGGAAGGTTTCACTGAGCCATTACTTCCTCTTCCAAGCCCTGTGGCCTTCCTGCTCCCAGGGCTCCCATCCCGTGTGCACACCCACTTCTCTTTGCTGGTTAACTATCCTCGGCCCACACTGTGGAGGGATGCCTCCTGCTCTCCCAGTGACCCCAATCAGCTCTGGCTAAAAGAAACCAGTGAACTTTTCTGATATCTAGTGGCCTGAACTGTACCTTCTTTAATGAGATCTGAACCCTGGGGAGGAGAACCCCTTCCAACTTTGTTCTTCCCTGGCTACTGTCCCTCAGCCCTAGAGTACCATGAAGTTTCCTTACACTTGTTCCTATGGACTCGTTTATCAGAATTTGATCATTCTTTATATATGCATTCTCTGTTTAATCCACTGTGTGATCTGGCCTACACTAATACAACAAATACTGCTTGCAAGTCAGAATAAAGTATGTAGTATCTTAAGAGATCTGAATGTGAGATAAGGATTTGTAGCTCACAGTCTGTTGATGGGATCAGGAAAGATTTAATGAGGGAGTGCAATTTGAGATGAATTTTGAAGGATGGATAAGTATTTCCTTTGAATTTGCCATTAGGGAGCTTGTATTTTTAAGGTGGTCACCTCAGATCTCCATTTCAAGGGTTAAAAACATCTACAAACTGAATTGTACTGTTTGTCTCAAACAGCTGCCCTTTACTCCTAACTGACAAGCTCCCCAGGTTTTATTGCTGGTCTGGGTGGAATTGCTAGTGAAGGTGTTAGAGATGTGCAGAAGAGATACCTGGGCCTGAGTGGGTACCCCCCCTTCCCCTCCCCCTCCCCGCCCTACCAGGAGGTTTTTAAATGGTATCATCTCATTAGAATTACGTAACCAAATGTTTAAAAGAAAGACTTTGGTGGAGTGTTTAGAATGGTTAGAAATGAACATCCACAGCCACATGTACCAATTAATTTCCTCTCCAAATATTTTTATACTGTTGGGTAGATGTGGCCTATGTTTTGGAAGGATCCTTTCCTTTGAAGTAGTCATTACACTGTTTTATTTCCTATATGAATGCCAAGTATACATTACTTTTCATTTCCCTTTTTGCTTGCCAAAGCCTTTTAATTTTCCTTCATCTCTTCACAAATATCTAATAAATAATTATGATGTGCTGAGCTATTCAAAGCATGGTCTCTGCACCTACAGAATTGGCATCATTTGGGAGCTTATTAGAAAAACAAATTCTTGGGCCCCACCTTGAATCAGAATCTCTGGGGGATTGGGCCCCAAATATATGTTTTAACCAGCTCTCTAGGTGATTCTTGTACATACTGAAGTTTGAGAAGCACCAATTAAAACTTGACTGATTACATTTCACTTGAGACACATTCTAGAATTTAAAAAGGATCTGGAATCTTAAGAGCCATTTGATCAATTCAAATCAGGCTTGTGTCTCCAACATCCCTGATAGAGCGTCATCTAACTTCGGCTTGAAATTTTTTACTGATGGGTGCTTACTACCACACAAGGTAAAAACATTTTGGGACAATTCTAATTATTGGAAATTTCTCATATTATGCATTTAACCCAGATTGAATTAATTGTATCTTTTTTTAATATAAAATTTTATTTATTTATTTTTGCTGTGTTGGGTCTTTTTTTCTGTCCGAGGGCTTTCTCTAGTTGTGGCAAGCAGGGGCCACTCTTCATCACGGTGCGCGGGCCTCTCACTATCGCGGCCTCTCTTGTTGCGGAGCACAGGCTCCAGACACGCAGGCTCAGTAGTTGTGGCTCATGGATCTAGTTGCTCCGTGGCATGTGGGATCTTCCCAGACCAGGGCTAGAACCCATGTCCCCTGCACTAGCAGGCAGATTCTCAACCACTGCGCCACCAGGGAAGCCCTAATTGTATCTTTTGCTCATTGTTCCTTGTCTTCCTCCTGAGGAGCATGAAATAAATCTGGTTTACTTTATACAGCCCAGATGTTTAGATACTTGAGACCACTGTCTACTCTTTCCTAAGAATTTTCTTCCCAAGAGAGAACGTTCTTAGTCCCTTTACTTTCTGTACTTGATAATGCCTTTTGGATCCTTCCCTCTTAGAATGACTTATATATCAATATGCTGCTTAAAATGTCACCTCCAGAATCAAATATAAAGTGCTTCGTGGAGTTTGTCCCATGAAGGCAATTACGAGACTGCCCTATATGCTGTAGAAAGTAAACCACTCTCTTGGGCTTTAGAAAGTTGAATACCAAGCCCAATTTTGTCATAATGGATATGGACAGATTATGCAGTTTCTGTGGATTCAGTTTTATTTAACAATATGTATTGGGAATACTATGTGGCACTTGAACCTGAGGAAATGCTGATGCTTAGGGGGTAGGCATGGCTGTTGAAAAGAATTGAAGTGGAGTTGTCAAAAAAGCAGGAAGGGAACCAGTAGAAAGAGCTGACACATATCTGATTCCCTCTCTTGACAGGTGTATCCTATGAGCTCAGCTTGGACAAGTCATAGGAACCTGGGCTGGGCTCCAAGGCAGGATGTTTCTTACACGAGGGACAAGAGATCTCTGTAGGGAGTCAGTGGGTAATTAGGACATACAGTGTTCCAATGGTGTGCAAGGTGTAAAAATTAATAAACAGAAACTTCAATTAAAATAGAGTCAGGAGGCCAGAAGGGGAAGCTCTCACACTCTATGAGGAAAGCAGAGCTCAGCAGGAAGGAAAATGACTTCCTATTCTTGCCTGGCAAGAGCGCAGCCAATGAGAGACTCTCACAACTCAGCCACTGAAAAACCCCTATACTTTGAACTCTCAATTCCTCAATGGAGTCTTTGTTTACTATAGACCCCCCAACTTCTTTTTCTCTTCTTTAAAAGAGTTCTCCTCTCTTTGTTGCGGTGGGGGGAGACTTGCATGTGGCTCACCATGGTTATAGACCCCAAATTTCAATTCCTTGTTGATCCCAATTAAACCCATTTTTGCTGGAGAAATACCTGGTAGTCTATTTGTTTTAGGTCAACATTTTGGTGGCCCATATGGGGATCCAGAGAAGACCCTTCATGACTTCAATGCTGGTAAGCAAACAGGTATGGTACTTACATTGAGTACATTTTTGTTGCTGCTTTTCTTGAAGACCCTGGGGTTTGAGAGTGAGCCTGGTTTCCAGCCTCTGCTTTTTTGTGTTTTGAAACTCTTCAGGTTTTATTTGGAATCTATTTTAAGGCTTCACCCTTTCTGATTCAGGCCTTATTCTGTATACAGGTACTCATTTGGCACTTTGGCAATAGGTGGTTCCAACTGAAGCTGAAACCGTGCACCTCAGACTGGAGCTTGAACCCACGTGCTGGGACTTTAACCCAGCCTAAACCCTGACAGACTTGAGTGCACGTGGCTGGGACTCAAACCCAGCCAAAACCCACGGTCTTCCAACTGAGATCACACACTTGGTTTCAGGATTTAATGAAGCTCAGGTTCTTGATGTCTCATCGCAGAAATAATTCAGTGAGAGATAAAGTGATAGGTAAGAAGTGGATTTATTTAGAGAGAAACACACTGCACTGATAGAGTGTGGGCCATCTCAGAAGGCGAGAGCAGCCTTGGGAGAAACACACTCTACATACAGAGCGTGGGCCATCTCAGAAGGTGAGAAAGGCACCAGGATATGGGGTTGTCAGTTTTTATAGGGGTGGGTAATTTCATAGGCTAATGAGTGGGAGGAGTATTCCAGCTATTTCAGGAAGGGGTGGGGATTTCCAGGAATTGGGCCACTGCCCACTTTTTTTTTTTTTTTTTTTTGTGGTACGTGGGCCTCTCACTCTTGTGGCCTCTCCAGTTGCGGAGCACAGGCTCAGCGGCCATGGCTCACGGGCCCAGCCGCTCCACGGCATGTGGGATCCTCCCGGACTGGAGCACGAACCCGTGTCCCCTGCATCAGCAGGCGGACTCTCAACCACCGCGCCACCCGGGAAGCCCTTCAAATTAAGATTTTAAGATTAACTGAGGCAAACAAACGGTTAAAGAAAGGTAAGGTGGCTTCTGAAGCCTCATGCTCCTCTTCCCCTGCTGCTTTTCTCAGGTTCTGCCTCCAGCGCCATCTTCTTCGTCTCCCTTGGTTCTTCTTGCTCAGCCCCGAACTCTGGTGCCATATTCCTCCTTCCATTCTATACCACCTACATCTCCTCTCTACCCTCAGTTCTCCCATACTAATTCCCTTGTCAAACCTCCCCTTTTCTCTGAAACTCTCCCTGTTACGTTTTCCTTTCAACCTATCAGAACCTATCCCTTTAAAATCAAGCCTTCTGAGGATCTAGAGGCTAAACCCTTAATTTCTTACATGCCCTGGACTAAAGCTGAACTGCAAGCCACAGTCAAAGATTTTCTCAAAGTAATTGAAGATCCTCACAGATTTGCTGAGGAATTTAATATAGTCATTCAAACTCTTCAACCTGGTTTCTCTGACTTATATCTGCTAGTTCACATACTTGTTAATGAAGGCCAGGCCCAGCATTGCATGAAAACCACTAATTGGAAAAACTTTGAAAGCCTCTAGAATTATAACCAGAAGACCAGCCTGTTAACTTACTATGTGATCAGGCTTATGCAATCAGTAGGCAACTTCACTGGGCAATTCCTAGACTTCTCCAAAGCCTGTTGACTGGAGCAAAATTCAGGCTTGCACACAAAAATCTGATGAAACTGTTCGTAATGATTACAATAGACTTCAAATTATTTTTAAAGAGAATTCTGGTCTTCATTCCTTCATTCCACCTGGATAGCTTTTAACTCTGTTCATTAATGGGCTCAACCAGGGCCTTTCCCTCCTAGTAAAAAGGACCAGAATGCAATGGAAAACTATGTCCACTCCAGATTTAGTTAATCTGGCTAACAAGCTCTCTCACAACCTAGATGAGTCCTCTAAAAGAAGACCGCTAAAATTCTTCAACTCCAGCAAATGAAGGCCCCTAAACAAAAACAAAGTCCTCCTAGTTTCTGGTATTATTACAAAGACCCAGGACATTGGAAAAGAGATGGCTATAAATGTAAGTACTTCAAGCTCCTTCAGCCCTTGAACCAGTCTTTTCAACGCCCTACCAATTCTCAATGACAGAGCCTTGAAGAACCGCCGGGGCTCTTCCCAGTCCTCTCTCTTAACTGGCTTGCAAGAACATGTCTCCGGACTGGGGATGAATCTCTTCCAGACCTAACTGACACTGTAGCCACACTCTTGGTGCTCCATCCCACTACTATAAAGAGTCCCTGCCTCAGAGTACTAAAAGAGTTCAAATAGTGGGAGATCTCTAACGAACCTCAAAAGGTTCCTGTCTTTGAACCTATTCCCTTTTATTAAGGCCCTTTGAGAAATACACACCCCTTTCTCCTTAGTCCCACCACCCCATTCATTTATGATGCCGAGACTTCTTAGAAAAGTATCATGCCAGAATTTCTTTCTCCCAAAAGGAGGAAATAATTCTAGGATTTGACAATAGTTGTCAAAGCAGCCAACCAAGGGAATTAAATGACCCTTTGATGTCTTTTATCCATTCCATCTCTTACAGTACTATAGCTGATTTTGGAAATACTGATCAATTTGTCCCTATTGAATAATCTATCACCCTCCTCATGGACAAAATCTCCAACTGATCCTGGCAAAATTCACGGCACACCTCCCATCAAGATTCAAATAGATCCCTCAGAACCTCTCCCCAGAAATAATCAATATCCTATAAGTAAAGAAGCCTTTGGAGATATAAAGCCCATAATAGAAAATTGCAAAGCTCAAGGCCTTATTATCCCTTGTACTAGTTCCTGTAACTCTTCTGTTTTACTGCTCAGAAAACCTAAGGACAAAGGGTGGAGGTTTGCCTTCACACCCTGCTGTTTCTAACCCTCACACTCTTACTAACACCCACTTCCACCAAAAGCAAATTCTTGGGACAGCGTTGGCTTTTAAAAATTTATTTATTTATTTTGGCTGCGTTGGGTCTTTGTTGCTGTGCGCGGGCTTTCTCTCGTTGTGGTGAGCGGGGGGCTACTCTTCACTGTGGTGTGCGGGCTTCTCATTGTGGTGGCTTCTCTTGTTGTGGAGCACGGGCTCTAGGTGCACGGACTTCAGTAGTTGTGCCACATGGGCTCAGTAGTTGTGGCACACAGGCTTAGTTGCTCCACAGCATGTGGGATCTTCCCGGGCCAGGGATAGAACCCCTGTCCCCTGCATTAGCAGGCAGATTCTTAACCACTGTGCTACCAGGGAAGTCCCAGCAAATTCTTAACTGTAACTGACTTATGCAGTGTATTCTTTAGTATTCCAGTTGATAAAGTTGACCAATACCTCTTTGTGCTCACTTGGGGAAAAAAAAATTCACCTGAACAGTAATGCCTCAGGGTTTTACTGAGTATTTCTCAGTAATCCTGAAGGCTGACCTGGATGATATAAAGTTCCCTAGGTTTTCTACTTTGTTGAAATATGTGGCTGATTTTCTTCTTTGCTCTCCTTCTCAAGCCTCGTCACAAGAAGACAGCATCCATTTGCTAAAGCTTTTAGTCTTAAAGGGACATAAATTCACCAAGGAAGAATTGCCATTTGCCCAAACCTGGGTTTGACTGACATTTAGGACATCTGATATCAGAACAAGGGCTACACCTAAACTGAGATAAACTTCACGGTGTCCTAAGTTTCCCAAAACCCCAAATTAAGTGCCAACTGCAAGGTTTTCTTGGGCTACTTAGTTATTGCTGAAATAGGCCAAATCTTATGGCCATAAGATTGGCCAGTCTCTTGGCCAAATCTTAATCTCTTATGGCCAAATCTCTGAAGAACAACAACCCAATTTTATGGGAAGAACTGGATGACATGGCCTTTAAGACCTTAAAGCAAAGTTTGATGAACCCACCTATCCTTTGGCATCCCAATGATCAGATTCCCTTTTTCCTCTTTGTAATGATAATGAAGGGAACGCCCTTGGGGTACTCACTCAAAAACACAGGGACTACCATTGACCTAGAGGGTATTATGACCAGCAACTGACCCTGTGGCATGGGGATAACCCCCTTGCCTTAGAGCCATTACTGCCACTGCCCTTTTGGTTAAGGCCACTGAGAAAATCATTATGGGATCCATTTATTTTTGTACCTCATGCAGTAGAAGCCCTCCTGAATTCTCATCACATGCACCAGTTCTTAGCCAGCTCACTCCTATGAAGACCTTTTGTTAACTGCTCTTCACATAACTCTTTACATTGTTGGCACCTTAACCCTGATACTCTTCTCTGTGTGATGAAGTCCCTCATGACTGCTTAACACTGACTGATGACCACTTGACTCCTTGTGATGACCTGTAAGAAATTCTTTTGGGTAGTGCTGATTTCTCATGGTTCACTGATGGTTCTCATTTAAATATTGTGCTGGGTATGCTATTGCAACTTCTTTCAATATTGTAGAGACAACATCTTTACCTGTGGTTACTGTGGCTTAACAGGCTAAATTATACACTCTTACACAGGCTTGTACTTTAGCCAAGGGCAAAATTACCAATATTTATACTGATAGTAGGTATGTTTCTGGAATATTTTATGGTTTTGGAATGTTGTGGAAGCAATGTGGCTTCCTTACTTCCAGTGGAAATAAAATTTAAAATGGCCCCTATGTTCAGGAATTATTGGATGCAATACTTTAATTGTTATTAATATTCTGAGGCATTCTAAACTTGACTCTCTGGAAGCTAAGGGAAATCACCTTGCTGACATTTCCACAAGTTATGCTGCCTATAAAGGAACCAACAGCAGCCAAACTTCTGCTGTGGTCCAAAGGCATATTTCCCCAAAAGATAACTTAGAAAAACTGGCTAGAGAAGCCCAACAATTGGCCTCAGAAAGGGAAAAATAAGATTGGAAATTCAACAATTGCTTGATAAAAGAGATGAAGCTCTGGTCTTCTGCCCATTTTAAAACTGGGTTGCTTGGGGTTTCTTTGATGTTGAGTTGTATGAACTGTTTATATATTTTGGATATTCACCCCTCATTGGTCATATCATTTGCAAATATTTTCTCCCATTCAGTAGGTTTTCTTTTCATTTTGCTGATGATTTTCTTTGTTGTGCCAAAGCCTTTAAGGTTAATTAGGTCCCATTTGTTTATTTTTGCTTTTATTTCCTTTGCTTTAGGAGACAGATCCAAAAATATTGCCATGATTTATGGCAAAGAGTGTTCTACCTATGTTTTCCTCTAGGAATTTTATGGTTTCCAGTCTTGCATTTAGGTCTTTGATCCATTTTGATTTTATTTTTGTATATGGCATCAGAGAATGTTCTAATTTCATTCTTTTACATGCAGCTGTTCAGTTTTCCCAGCACCACTTATTGAAGAGATAAGTCTCACTGTCTTTTCGCCACTGTGTATTTTTGCCGCCCTTTGTCATAGATTAATTTACCATAAGTGTGTGGGTTTATTTCTGGCCTCTCTATTCTGTTCCATTGATCTTTGTCTCTTTTTGTGCCAGTACCATACTATTTTGATGTGTAGCTTTGTAGCATAGCATGAAGTCAAGGAGTGTGATTGCTCCAGCTCTGTTCTTCTTTATCAAGATTGTTTTGGCTATTTGGGGTCTTTTGTGTTTCCATACAAATTTAAAAATTATTTGTTCCAGTTCTGTGAAAAATGCCATTGGTGTTTTGATAGGGATTGCATTGAATCTGTAGATCATCTTGGGTAGTATGGTCATTTAAACAACATTAATTCTTCCAATCCCTGAACACAGTACATCTTCCCATCTGTTTATATCATCTTCAATTTCTTTCATCAGTGTCTTATAGTTTTCTGAGTACAGGTCTTTTACCTCCTTAGTTAGGTTTATTCCTAGGTATTTTATTCTTTTTGATGTAACTGTAAATGAGATTGTTTCCTTAATTTTCACTCTGATAGTTCATTGTTAGTGTATAGAAATGCAACAGATTTCTGTATATTAATTTTTTATCCTGTAACTTTACCAAATTCATTGATTAGCTCTAGTAGTTTTTTGGTGGCATCTTT